GTAGGATTTCCCCTTCTTCTACTGTTTTCTCTTTGCTTTCCACTATACAAAGTCTAATCTGGGACAGAAAAGATCCATTCTTTATAGGACATATCAGGGCACATACAGGATTGCCTGGAGCCCTTAGTTTGGGCAATGATTTAGCAGATAAAACTACACATGACATACATATTTTCTCTACACTAGAAGAAGCTATAAATTTTCATAAAAAGTTCCATGTCAATGCTAATACTTTACAAAAGCGTTTTAAAATAACTAAGGAACAAGCTAGACAAATAATAAAACAATGTCAAAATTGTGTGACCTTTTTACCACAAGTTAATCTTGGAGTCAATCCTAGAGGATTGATACCTAACCATATTTGGCAGATGGACGTCACACACTTGCCGGAATTTGGAAAATTAAAATATTTGCATGTTACAGTTGATACTTCTTCTGGATTTTTGATGGGCTCCCTTCATGCCGGAGAAAAAACTAAAGATGTTATAGCTCACTGCTTACAAAATTTTGCCACTGTTGGTGTTCCAAAACAGTTAAAAACAGATAATGCCCCTGGTTATACTTCTACCTCTTTTAAACAATTTTGCTCAACATTTGGCATTACTCATATAACAGGAATCCCATACAATCCACAGGGACAAGGCACAGTTGAAAGAGCTCATCAAACTATTAAAATGTACTTATTAAAGCAAAAAGAAGGAATTGGGAAGGGGTATATATTCCCCAAAGATAAACTTAAAATAACCCTTTTTACTCTAAACTTTTTAAATTTGGATTCAACAGGACTTAGTGCTGCGGAAAGGCATATGTGTCCAAAAAATGTGCATAAGCCCAAGGTACTTTGGAAGGATATTCTAACAGGACAATGGAAAGGTCCTGACCCAGTAATTGGAGTCGGGGGTCTGTTTGTGTGTTTCCACAGGGAGAACAGCAGCCGATTTGGATTCCAGAGAGATTAACCAAGGTCCTGACCCAGTGATTGTCTGGAGTCGGGGGTCTGTTTATGTGTTTCCACAGGGAGAACAGCAGCCGATTTGGATTCCAGAAAGATTAACTAAAGCGATTTCTACAGACCAAAAAGAAGATGATTTGGCTCAAATCCATAACAACTGATATCCAAAACTCCAGTTTGGCTATTCTTACATCTGCAACAGAACCAGGATGCTTTTTTCAATATCTATTTTATTATTGCCCTTTGCCATATCATGAAGTTCTATTTTGGTTTTTGAGCTCATACAGACCTAGGTTAATGTTTTGCTGATCAGTTCTATTTTTTGACTATAGAGTTTTTAAACATTGCAATGGAGATTTCACCTGTAAAAAGTTATAAGGCCTTTACTATAATGTTATGTGTTGTATGTATTATATTATGTGTGCACACTTGTGTTTTGTGTTATATGTTTGAATGTACGTATGTCCATATATCATATATGATGAGCGCTCATGATAAAATGGATCCAAATATTTTTTTTTCACGTGATTTATATGGTTTAATTTAAATTGGGTAAACAACTGTTGAGGATTGTTTTAATATGTAAACAAAAAAGAAGGTTAACAGATCTGTTTGTTTACTTTCACCTTTCCTTTTCATTATATTTAATAATTCTCTTAAAGATAATGTAAATTGTTAAGAAAATTGTTTTCTTTTAGTGCCTTCTGTAATGTTACATAATTTTTTCTTTAGCCATTATTGCCAGAATTCCTATCTTCATCCCAGTGCTGGTGAAGTCAAAGATAAAACCAATCTACAGCTTCTACAATAGCCATCACTGAACTGCTTGCAGAACTTGCCTGGACACATTGTGAGCTCACCTGTATGCATTGTGAACTATCTGTTGGTGCAGCGACTTGTGGTAGTGTTGGGGTATTTTTGCTGATGATGTCACCGGTGGTACAATTTTTCAAAGGAGCCCTCAATTGGCTTAATGTCATGGCATTTTGCATCCTCCTCTACTAGTGATGGTCTAAAATTTGGGGGCCAACAGAGGTGAGGCAAAGAACCTCACCCCCCCCCCACTGGTGCAAAGGCCTATCCACAAGTATAGCTGTATGCTGGACCAGTAGTCAGTGACGGGTATGATCCAATTGCAGTGGTACCAACCTAAGACAGGAGGCTGACGCCTAGAGGTCAGTTCATCCGATGACGGGTAAGGACCATATGTTGAATTGGACTGCCTAACAGACACGGTCCCTAAGCCACATGCTTGTTGTTTAAACAGAGAGGGGGAGATGTTGAGAGCCACAGCCGAAGGGGCCCCAGCAAACTTCCAGCTGCCAGCAATCCAGCTGCCGGCTGATGATTGGCTCACAGCGGCCCCAGCAACATCTAGCTGATTGGCTCCTCGGCCCCAGCAACATCTAGCTGATTGGCTCCTCTGCGGTGATGCTCACTGGACTGTTTCCCTGCCCTTTCAGACCACGGAGCTGCTCATTGGGGGACTTTTTGGCTCTGCCCACGTGACCCAGCCAATCGGCCTCAAGAGCAGGAGGATTGTGGGAGGTGGAAAGAAGCTTGTGGGGGGAGAGACAGGCTTGTGGGAAAGCCGGTGGTGGCAGTTGAGGCTCTGAGGATTTTTCCTGAGAGGCTGTTTTGTTTGGCGTGTTTGGTTCTAAAAATAAAGTTAGTTTCTTTTGACAAGTGGCTTCTGATTGTGCCCAGCCAGACTGCGGCAGCTCACAGCTCGAATACCTTTTTGTCAGTAGGTAGAGAGAAACTGAAACAGACCATGCATACAAGTGGATTTCTGGGTTACATGGTAGTTGTGCTTCAAAAAAAAAATTTAGGAGCCTTTATGCTGTTTTCCATAGCTGCTGTACCAATTTACAGTCACTAACAGTGCACAGGGGTTCTAATTTCTCTACACTTTTTTTTTTTTTAAAGAAAGGACTCTTGTCACTCAGGCTGGGCTCAAACAAAAGATCCTTCTGCCACAGCCTCTCAAGTATCTGGAATTACAGGTGCATCCCACTGCAACTCACTGTGTGTGTGTGTGTGTATGCGCACCATTCTAAGAGCTTGAGGTGGTATCTCATTATGGTTTTGATTTGCATTTCCCAAACTAATTATGTTGAACATTTTATGCATATACCTGTTGGTCATTTGTATGTCTTCTTTGAACAACTGTTTTCTCAGTTCTTTGCCTATTTCTCAATCCAGTTGTTTCCTATTACTGAGGTACAAGAATTTCTAATGGACTGGGGATGTGGCTCAAGCGGTAGCGCACTCGCCTGGCATATGTGGGGCCCGGGTTCGATCCTCAGCACCACATACAGACAAAGATGTTGTGTCCGCCAAATACTAAAAAATAAATATTAAAATTCTCTCTCTTTAAAAAAAAAAAAAAAGAATTTCTAATGTATTCTGCGTATTATCCCTTATTAGATTTATGATTTCCAAATACATTTTTTCCTAAGTTGCTTTTCACTCTGTTGCTTTCTTTGCTGTACAGCTTTTTAGTTTGACAAAATCCCATTTGTCATCCTGCTTTTATCTTGCTGAGGGTGTGACATGCAATAAATTATTGCCAAAACAAATGTTATATAGCTTTCCCCCTGTTTTCTTCCAGAAATTTTCAGATTTTATGTATATGTTCTCAATCCACTTTAAATTGATATTTATGTATAATGTTAAGACAATGACCCAATTTCATTCTTTTGCATGTGGACATTCAATTTTCCCAATGTTTGTCGAAGAGATGTTAGTTTTAGTTTGCCATTTTCCTTTATGATTTTCTACATTTGTGTTTTTGAAAGGCCTTCACCACAAGATCATAAGAGTAAATGCATATTTTCTTTAGCACTGTAGGATTTTACTGTCTTAACAACACGTCAATCTTACCCCCCGGCAAAAAAGCTTATTTGTCCTATACTATTTCTTGAATAATCTAACTCTTCCTTGTTTCTACTGAGAGGTTTCTTTTGGGCTATAAGTAATCAAATACACAACGAAAAGTGGATTGAATGTCATAAGGAATCTGATATCTCACCTAATTAAAAAATTAATAGGTAAAATAGTTCCAGAATTAAGAAAGAACAATTCAGGTACGTTCTATCTGCATCCTCCTCAGTGCGATGGCTTTCATCTTCATTCTTGTCATTTCATGGTCAGCAAAAGGCTGTTGCACATAAACCCCAAAAGCCTTCATTCAACCCATACCTTCACCGAGAAGCAGAAAGGAAACGGGGGAGGGGGATCCTTTTTCTTTTTTCTTTATAATACTGTACCTCCTTTCTCTGAAAGAAAAATGGTATACCTCTAACTTAACTGAATTTTCTCTTCTATTTCATTCTTTTAATATAAATTTTTCAACCATTTGATTATAAGGATTCATACTTCTTTAACTTGCCAGTTTCACACAGTGAAACATTTTGTTTGGCAAGTCACTGACTCTCCAGCAGAGTTCCCTATCAGATATATGCACAAGAGTAATAATAATGAAATGGGAAACAAAGTACAGTTTTAAAAATCAAAGTGCAGATACCCCAACATTTAGAGTTCTAACAAAAGCTTAAGAGGTATCTGATTAAGCCAGGTAATCTAAGTAAGATGAAGTAATCAGAAGAGATGCTAAGAGATGCTAGGTAAGAAATGACCCCAATTCACAGAGAAGATGTGGTCAATGAATGTTGGTATAATTAAAATTATTTACTCATCTGCCCTTTCAGCAAAGTAAATAAGGGGATAAAGATGTTAGAACTTTCAACAGGAATTGGGTGCATGGTGAAAAAAGTTGAAAGGCAGACTTTACCAAGAATAAGTATATAATTTCCCACAACATGCCTAATATTCCTTGGCTTTGGAGTCACCAAATTCATTTAAACTAATCTATATTTCACTTTGACTACATTAATGGAGCTATGAAGGACTAAAATCTAGTGAAATTAAGCTTTCAAGCCATTTAGATAGTCATATGTATTTAAATAAATATATACACACACACAATGTATACATGAAATCATGCATAAAAATTCTCAATAGAAATAAGTTATAAGCAATAAAATAAAAATTAAGCTTAATTTACTATACTGTTTGCTGTATAGAAATAATAAAAAACAAATCCATACATTATCAAAGTTTTGTCATTCTTACACAAATATTCTGACTGGTGCACACTTTTCTTCATGCTAATTTAACAAACCCTTGCTTTTGCTTCTCCATCTGTGGTTAAATACATATCTCTAAACAAAAATGTTTAAAGAGTCCTATATGTTGGTGTCCAGTTATTTGAAATTAGGTTTTCATTTTGAATAGTTTCAATAAGAAGTTTATATCCTAACAGAATGACCCCTTGTCTCAGTCTATGTTAAACAGATGAAACAGACCCTCCTATACAAACATCCAACAATGTATTTAAATCATATTATTTGAAATACTTTATACATGAATAATTTATCTCTTTACACTGTGGAAGCTTTGCATTTCAGTATGTTCTATAGCTTCTGTATCATCACCTGAAATTTGCCTAAAAAAAGAAAACATAAAAATAATTTTTGATTTGAAGTACAAGGAAAACAAGCCTGCACATAAAATTTTCTGTTCTACTAAGGAAGCAGTTTCAGTCAAGAAACTTCCTGTGTCAAAAAACTTTTCACATTCCTCACAATATTCAAAACATTTTTATTGGATGATTATCTGGTTCAGGAGTGGGTACTTTTGTTTCTTTTTGTGTTTCCTACCTTCCAGTATTTCAGTGCTAATTATCACTGTGAATAGGTAATATAGTAAAGCTCAAGTAAATTTTATTCTTGGCTGGCAGCTGTGGTTATAAGATCTTTTTTTTTTTTTTTTTTTATATAGTCTTTTTTTTTTAAGAGAGAAACTTTTTAATATTTATTTTTTAGTTTTCGGCGGACACAACATCTTTGTTTGTATGTGGTGTTGAGGATCGAACCCGGGCCGCATGCATGCCAGGTGAGCGCGCTACCGCTTGAGCCACATCCCCAGCCCGGTTATAAGATCTTTAAGAAGGAGTTTAACAATAAGACTGAGGGCTCAGTTGGTAGAGTGTTTGCCTTACTTGCACAAGGCCCTGCTTTCAATCCCTAGCACCACAAAAAATAAAGACTAGTTAATTTAGCTTTATATAATAGACATATTCTAAACAATTATTTAAAAGATACTTTCAATGCTATTGGGAAAACGCCTCCTTAAATAAACACTACAGCTAGGCATGGTGGCACATGGCTGTAATCCCAGAGACTTGGGAGGTTGAGGCAGGAGGAACACAAATTTGAGACCAGCTTCAGCAATTTAAGAAGGCCCTGTCTCAAAATAAAAATTAAAAAGGGCTGGTGATGTAGCTCAGTGGTAAAGTGCCTCAGTACCAAAAAATTTAAAAATAAAAACACCACAGAGGCTTGAGTGATATAGCACTTGCCTAGCATGTGTAAGGCCCTGGGTAGGTTGCCCAGCCCTCTAAAAGACAAAAAAAAAAAAAAAAAATCCGGGATGGGGGAAGACCTGCAAACATTTATAAGAAATGTAAATTCAGGGGCTGGCGGTTGTAGCTCAGTGGCAGAGTAATTGCCTAGCATTCGTGAGGAATTTGGTTTGAATTCTTAGCACTGCGTATAAATAAATAAAATAAAGGTTCACTGGCAACTAAAATAAATAAATATACATATTTTATATATATATTATTTTTTTAAAAGGAAATGTAAATTCAACTTACAGGCAGGCATTGAAGACACTTCAGCTGTTACAATACTTTTTATCCCCAAGTTTGATAAGCCACCTCTGATTAAGCCACAGGTAAATGCTAGATACTAAATGGAAAAATTGGAAAAATAAATGAGAATTTATTGATACTAAAGCTACTAAAATATGCCATTAGTTAAGTCATGCTACCAATAAATCATTGATGTTTAAAAATAAGAATGTTGTGAATAGCCAGGCAGGGTGGTGCATGCCTGTAGTCCAAACTACTGAGGACACTAAGGTGGAAAGATCACTTGAGCACAGGAATTTTAAGCCATTCTGAGCAACATAGCAAAATCCTGCATCAAAAAACAAGGGGCTGGGGTTATGGCTCAGTGGCAGAGCACTTGCCTGGCATGTGTGAAGCCCTGAGTTTGCTCCTCAGTACCACATATAAATAAATAAACAAACAAACAAATAAATAAATCCATTGGCAACTAAAAAAAATAAATAAATACAAACAACCCCAAAAGTTTTGGAAAAACTGTTTAAGTTACTAAAAAAATCTGATTATTATAAGATGTCCTAGCTCCCTGGCAACTAAAAATGTATGGACATGTGACTTAAGCTTAGCTAATTAGGTGTTCCAGTTCAGGACCCGAATCTACAATAACATAAAAATGATAGAAACCAAGTTACATTTTCTTCTGGGGATGGCAAATGTTGTTTCTGTCTACTGTCCATGCTGCCCACAGAATTCTAAGTAGGGCCTCCCAGTAATAATAATTTGGGTCATGTTCTGGCTGCTTTAATCGGTTTCTTGCCTGTTTTCTGAGCCCTCCTAATCACTCTGTAAATAAACTAACAATATTTCATTCAATCAGAGTTGTTTTCTATGATCTATAGACAAGAATATGAACTTATTCAAGATTTATAGCTGCCGGGCACCATGGCACATGCCTGTAATCCCAGCAACTCAGAAGGTTAAGGAAGAAGATTTAAAGTTGAGGCCAGCTTCTATAATTTAGCAAGACTTTGTCTCAATATCAAATATTAAAAAGGGCTGGACCAGGCACAGGGGTGCATGCCTATAATCCCAGTGGCTCAAGAAACGAAGACAGATAGATCATGAGTTAAAGCTAGCCTCAGCAACTTAGCAAGACCCAGTCTCAAAATAAAAAATAAAATGGGCTGGGAATGTGGCTCAGTGGTTATGCACCCATGGGTTCAATTCCTAGTACCAAAAAAGGAATACATTTATAGCCTGTGGAGATAAAAATTATCATCTTCAAAATATCAATAATGCAAATGTTAAGAAACCCTGTTATAAAGAAACAAACAAAAAAAGAGCCAGGTATGGTGGCACACACTTGTAATCACAGCGACATGGGAGGCTGAGACTGGAGGATCACAAGTTCAAAGCCGGCCTCTACCTTAGCGAGGTAGTAAGCAAATCAGAGAGACCCTGTCTCTAAATAAAATACAAAATAGGGCTGGGGATGTGGATTAGTGGTTGAATGTCCCAGAGTTCAATCCCTGATACGCTCCTACCTCACCCCCAAAAAAGGAATGGAGCTGGTCTACAGAAGGGAAAGACATGACAGGAATGAAGACTGAAAAATTAATAATCTAAGGAATATTTTTATTATCTACATTTTTTTGTACTACATGATATTCAATACTATCTACTAATAATATAAAATTTTATAATTAATGCACACAAATAGTTACTAATAAGTAATTACACGTAAGTCAACAAATTCTGAACTGGAGGAGACCGTAGATTGTTTCTCATTGGTAGTGGCACATGCTTATAATCCCAGCAACTCAGGAGGCTGATGCAGGAAAATTTCAAGTTCAAGGTCAGCCTCAGCAACTTAGCAAAACTCTGTCCCAAATAAAAATAAAAGGGCTGGGTATAGTTCAGTGTTATAGGACACATATACACAAAGAAAGATTGTTTATCCCTAGAGTTCTTAACCTGGGAATCTATGAGGACCAGGAAAATTAAAATCATTCATACATATATATTTATTGGGAAAAAGTGATCCAATATAAAAATGTCCATAACCAGTGCTTGCCTAGTATGTGCCAGGCTCTGGATTCATCCCCAGCATTTCCAAAAAAAGACACATGTCTGATGTGGTTGTGGAACGTGCTGTTAATGCCAGCAACTCATGAGGCTAGAACAAGAAGATTGCTAGTTCAAAGTAGGTCTTGGGAATTTAAAGGGACTCTGCCTCAAAATAAAAATTGTTTTAAAAGAATGGTGATGCAGCTCACTGGCAGAGCTCTTGCCTAGCATGTGCAAACCTCTGGGTGGAATCCCCAGTACCACCCAAAAAAAGTCCATAAACTCAAAATATTTAAAAAATCACTGAACTACACAGCTATTCAGGAGTCTAAAGGAGAATCACAAGTTTGAGGCCAGCCTGGGAAGTTAGTGAGATCCTGTCTTAAAAAATAAAGAAGTCGGGGGATGTACTCAGTAGTAGAATATTACCTAGTATGTGTAAGGTCCTGGGGTTCAATCACCACCATCATCACCACCACCACCACCACCAAAAAAAATTACTGAACTGATTCAATTTTCTCTTTTTACAATTAAAGAAATTAAGATTCCCAAAAGTTAAGTGAGAACCAGAGATATTAAAATGAGATTAATAAAAAATGAGAACAAATATTTACCACAAAAATGTAATGAGAATCTAGCAATCCCAAAAATACAGAAAATAAGCAATGAAACTAAATTACAAAAAATAAGAATCACATCTATTTCTTGGCCTACTCTGTTAACATCTCACAGCTATAATAATAATTATTATATTTACTAAGTATATCATGTGCAAAGCACCATAATAAATACATTTTTCCCCCTGAGATAAAGTCTTGCTATGTTACCTAGGCTGGCACTCAACTCCTAAGCTCAAGTGATCTTCCTGCCTCAGCCTTCCAAGTAGTTGAGACTACAGTTATGTGTCACTACACTCAGTCTCATGTTACATACTTTAAATACATTTAACTATCAAAATAATCTTATAGCTATGATTATACTCGATTTATTAATGAGGAAACTAAGATCCTGAAGAGTTACGTCACTTATTCAATGTCACAAATCTGTAAATCGTGTAGCTTAGCTTAAAATCTAAATTTATTCAATCCCAAGACTATGATATTTCCACTATAACTATACTTCCTTTCTGTTCAATAATATAGGTATAGAAAAGTTTTTTGCAGGTAAATAGCAGTCTATACTTATCTAGATATTTTTATCACTTCAAAGGAACGCTTATACTAATAATATTCATTAGCTTTCTTTAACACAACTATTTATTGATTGATTTCTACATAAGATTAAAAAAACAAAATCTACACAAAACCCAGAAACACAGATATATTTAACACAAAACATGCACTCCAAGAAACAAATGTTTATTATGTTTTATTAATAACTTTATTTTCTTTCTTTTTTTAAATGTGGTGCTGAGGATCGAACCCATTGCCTCACACATGCTAGGCAAGCACTCTACCACTGAGCCACAACCCCAACCCCAGGCCTATTATAGATTTTAATCTACTAGAGGAGATCATAAATGCACTCTCAGGTGAATAATTCTACACAGCCAATGTCTGTTTTTGTAAGTTTGAATTATCTGTATTGATGTGCCTACACTTTTTCAAAGAATATCATATATCTATATTCACTGGCATTTAGTAGTAATGTTTCTTTAATTGGTCATTATAGGCTTATTTAGCTGCAGCTACAAGTACATGTAAGTTATTCATGATGAATATCTCCTATTTCATAAAAAGTGGCTTTAGAAAAAAAGGACAACTTGCCAGGTACAGTGGCACACCCTTTATTCCCAGCAATTCAGAAGGCTAAAGCAAGCTCGAAGCCAGCCTCAGCACCTTAGTGAAGCCCTAAGCAACTTAGCAAGACCTTGTCTCAAAATTAAAATACCTGGGGATGTAAATCAGTGGTAGAACCCTTCCACCCCGTCCTGGGTTCAATCCCCAGTAACAAAAAATACCAAGTACAACTTTAAAACTACTATTTTAAATTAAAGAGTTTGTTGTGATTGGCACTGTAATTTGTAATTTTTACAGTAAATCTACTTTTTTTTAGTAGAAAGTCCAAATCTTCTATTGCATTAAATACCTTAGATGCATGCTCTAAGTACTGTTTTCCTGCAGACATCTGAGTAAGCAGACGAAATTTGTTGTCCTGAAGTACATAGATGCCCTATTTCAAAAATACAAAAAAAGATTCAAAGTCAATTTAGTCTGTAGTCCTTAAAACCTATCTTATTCCTATAACAACTTTAAGAATATTTTGTTATTAAAATTCCCCTTTTCATTGGTCAAATTTTCTTCAAATGAAAGAATTTCACAATGTTTAAGCTTAAGGGGTTGAGTTCAGCAGTTGTAGCACTAATATTTACTAAATATATCAATACACTGAAAATACAAAGAGGTATAAGACACAGTCCCTAATAATTCAGAGTTGGGCTGGGAATGTGACTCGGTGGTAGAGCACTTGATTATCACAGGTGAGGCCCTGGCTCTGGTCCCTACACGAAAGGTAAAAAAGAACTTAAGTCTTATGTAATCACTAGCACTCAACCATACAAAATTATTATATGCTAAGTAAAGCACATTTAGAAAGTTGATAAATGGAGTCACTTCTTGTTGGCATTTCAATTCCAGACTAAGTTTGGTACTGTGAAAAAAAATGAATTCTACTAGTAGTATTAAATAAGCTGTTTTCATTTTTTATACTCCATTGAAATGCTAAATCCACTCTAAATATGCCTTTGAAGTTTGTAAAATAAAATCAATCTGTTTTGTTGTTGTCATCTGGGGGTTTTTTGTTTTTGTTTTGAAGTACTAGGGATCAAACCCAGGGCCTCATGCATGCTAGGCAAGAACTCTACCATGGAGCTACATCCCCAGCCTCCAAAATCAATGCATTTAAAGTTTTCTATGTACTCTCCTAATTGTACAGTAACAAAATCTTTCAAAAAAGAAAAAAGAACAGCAGTAATGAACAATACAAGAGTTACTTAAGATATACGTACTCCAAAAATCAGACAATGGAAATTACTCTAAAGACATAAATGTGAAATATTATTACTTACTAATAATAACTAAGAAAACAAATCCTAAAACCAGTATCATTCTGACGTACGCTGTGTTTTAAAATTTAACATAACTTATGTAATTGGGGGGATACCTATAGTTTACTGATAATTGCCACTTTATCTTTATTCACTTTATCCTACCAGAGGAAAAAAAAAAAAACTGACGACCTAAATAACATCAGAGAAACATTCCAAAAGTTAAGAAATTATTTTTTTAAATAAAACTGATAAACAAAGGCATTTACATTAAAGAATTTTTTTTAAAAAGCCCTTAGTTTATCTGAATACCTGATGATTTGTCCTTAGATTGTCGATTTGTTTCTTGAATACTGTAGTCCAAAAATCTTTACAAATGAACTTCATGATGTCTAACTCATCCTTGAACCTTGCAGTATCTTTTGTAAACCTAAAAAGATCAACTAGAAGTAATACAATACTTTTCTTCCAAAGAAAGTTAAGGGATCCAAACATATTTTTCTCACTCTTCCCAAGAGGGGCAAACTATGAACTAATTTCCAAATGCCATAATAGCACTGAACATTATTGAAAGTCATAAAGTGTTAAACATCAAGCAAAATAGATTTCAACATATTCACATATGTTATGGGGTCTATCAATACATTAGTTATTTGTCTAACAGTAGAGCCAACATTAAGTACAATCAGTCTAGAACAAACAACAACAACAACAACAAAAAAAACCCACTGAGCTTCATAATAGCATTGTACATAAAATATAATCAGAGTTCAACTATTCTGCAGGGAATGAATGTTGGCACATGCCTGTTAATCCCAGGCTAAAGCAGAAGGATAACAAGTTCAAGGCCAAAGCAGAAAACTTAGTAAGATCCTGTCTCAAAATAAACAAATAAAAAGGTTGTAGTATATAACTTACTAGTAGAGCAACACTGGGTTTAATCCCTAGTATTGTTTAAAAAAAGGAAAAGGAAAGAAAAAAAATTAACTATGCTGCTATTTATTAAAACTAAAAAAAAAAAAAAGAAAGAAAAAGAAAAAAAAACCTATCTATAAATTAGAAGATTATTATATGTATAAACAAAGACTTAAGGCATTTCCTACACTTTAAACAAAATTTCATTCAGGTTTTTTTTTTTTTTTTTAAAAAAACCCTACTAGGCCTTAAGTAAAAAATGCAGTGATGCCAGGAGTGGTGGCACACACCTGTAATCCCAGCAGCTTGGGAGGTTGAGACAGGAATGCGAGGCGCTAAGCAACTCAGTGAGACCCTATCTCTAAATAAAATACAAAATAGTGCTGGGGATGTGGCTCAGTAAATGCCCATGAGTTCAATCACTGGTACCCCCCCGCCCCCCCAAAAAAAAGCAATGAGATTTTAAGCAGTTATTTCAAAATACCAATATTTTCAGGAAAAATATTTAGATGTAAAATGTTTCTTGAATTATTAGGACTTAAAATTTGAGTAACCAAGTTAATCTTGCACTAGATCTTCAAATGATTTTTTTTTTCTTGGGGGGGTGCTGGGGATTGAATCCAATGACTTGTGCATTTTCTACCACTGAGCTACACATGTTCTACCACTGAGCTACACCCTCAGCTCCTTAAAAAAGAAAATTTCAACTGTGAATTAAGGAACAGAGAAAAATGAAAATATTTCAAATTTTATGCAATCTTTTGAATGGACTACCATTGTTCATAACCTACCTGAAAGAAAATTTTCAAATCCATACTGCTCACCTTTCTATCAATCCTTGTCCTACTCGAAACCCCATGTTTTCCAGTTTAGTAATACAACGTCCATTTTCCTATTTTAAAAAACAACAGTTATAAATACTTTTAGTTCTTTTTTGTTCATTTGGTACCAGGGATTTAACAACCCAGGAGCACTTAACCACTCCGTCACATCCCCAGTCCTTTTTAATTTTTGAGACAGGGCCTCGCTAAATTGCTGAGGCTGGTTTTGAACTTGCAATCTTCCTGCCTTAGCCTCCCAAACAGCTAAGATACAAGGAAAGTGCTACCATATCCAGCTATGATTACTTTTAAAAGACTAAGATGTTTGTATTCAAAATTATAAATTACAGCTAAAGACATGATAATGTAGATTGCATAGAAATCCTACAAATCTGAAAAATACAGGAGAGTTTTTAATTTCACAAATACATTTAAATTATTTAAAAATTCCCACTGAAGAGAATATTATAAAAATGCAAGTAATATGGAAAAGCTTGATGCAAAGTAATTGATGTATATAATGCACCAGAAAATTCACAGCATGAAAGGAATGTTATAAGAGTGATAATTTAGCTAGGTGCATTGGCACACACCTGTAATTCCAGTGACTCAGATGGCTGAAGCAGGAGGATTACAAGTTCAACCCTCCCCCCAGCCCCAGGCTACTTAGCAAGACCCTGCCTCAAAATAAAAAAAATAAAAAGGGGCTGGCATGTAGTAAGTAGTATGTGGGAGGCCAACCTTACGGGTGACTAAGTTACACTCCCCAGCTGGGTGCTGAGGCGCTCAGTCACAGAAATGGGTGTGTCTTGCTACAGCCCATGGGTGAAGCTATGCTCACCTGTTCCTTTGTAATATAACTCCTTGCCCTGTTTAGGATAGAATCTTCCATGGAAGTGCCTTGTGTGTGTCCCCTCCTCTTACTGTGCCCTTGGGTGTGGCCTACCCAGGTGTCAGTCAACCTGCTGACAGTGGACATCATGAAAATAGACTCAGCCCCCTGAAACCTGACCCCTTGCCTCATTTGAATAGCTCTCCTCAATAAAAGGGGTCAGTGCGTCTCTCTCTCTCTCCTTTTCTGCGGACCCTTAAGGTCAGAGGAGCCGTCACAGCAACCCCAAAGAAAAAGGTATTTGTGTCTCTTGTGTGGTTATTTCGTGCAGCCCAGTTAGCCCAGTTTAACTAGAGTGACCCCTGAGCCTTTTAGTCGTGAGAACAGAAACCCGGCAGTAGTACAGTGGTAGAGCATTCCTGGGTTCAATCCCCAGTACTGGGAAGGGGTGGGGGGATTGAGGTGAAATAATTGTATAAGTAATTTTAAAGCTCTAGTTCACAGTAGTCTTTTTTTGCTACACTTGTAAAAATTTTCTTTTTCCATTTTGAAGTCTATTGGATCCATGTATGAACTGAAGTGTGCTATGGTTTGGGTATGGCTTAAATATGTGTCCGCTGAAGGTTCCTGTGTTGAAATTTAATCCCCCTTATGAGGAATTAAGAAAGTAAGGGCTGGCAGTATGGTTCCATGGCAGGGCACCTGCCTAGCATGTGCAAGGCCCTGGGATCAATCCTTAACACTGAAAAAACAATGAAACTTTTATCCCAGGTATTCCAGAGGTTAAGGTAGGTAATTCAGGAATTCAAGGTCAGGCTATACAACACAGAGAGACCTCTCCCACATGATAGACACTTAATCCAAGTATGGTGTCCAGAGGTGAGGCCTTTTGGAATAGTTATTAGTATTAAAGTCATCAGGGTAGAGCTCCCATGATTGAATACTGTGGCTTTATAAGGGACACACAAAGATGAGTGGTGGGAACATGAAGTAAAGGGAACAATTTTACAAAACAGACCTATTGTGCTGACCCCCACATGCTTTGGAACCCAGGGCTTTGCGAATGCAAGGCAGACACTTTGCCACTGAGCTACATCCCAGCCCTATGCTTTCTTTTCTAAGAAGCAATTAACTGGCAGCCCTGCCTGGTTCAGAATATGTTACATTCCTCAGCAAACTACCTGTTATCTGCAGGAGAAATGCAGGCCCAAAATGCTGGTAAGAAGAACAAAAGTTACCCTGAAGGTGGGGACTTCTGTGACCTTCCAAGACCAGATCCCAGAACTCAGGGAGATAAGGATAATTTACCCTCATCATAAAATCTATTAAGAACAGGTTCCAATTCAAACTTTTTGGCATGTGACAAAGTGACCTAGAGTTGTCATGGCAGTCTGATATCATTCTGCTATCAAAGTCAAGAGGTGGACGTGGGCAGGACTCTGGAAACTTCCCTGGGACTACCAATATAACTGGAGAGCAGGAGAGGCGTGTTAAACCTCCCTCTCTCGAAGGACCCACTTTCTCCCTTGAAAGTGTCCCTTTTCCTCCTTTCCTATCTGTTCTAATAAACTCAAGTCTGTCACTCTGAGTGACATGTCTGAAATCTTTCTGACTTGATCACAAGAATTGGGGTTTGAAAGGGGTGTGTGTGTGTCTTCATACTATCTCAGTTTCCCAGAAAGCCCTAGCCCTATAACAATAGGATAGAGTATGATACCAGAGGATACACAGGTATTCCTCCTGTCTCTCACTGTATGATACCCTGTACTACTGTGGGACTCTTAACAGTAAAACACCATCATCAGATGCAACCCTGTGGTCCTGTACCAGAATCATGAGTTAAAATAAACCTTTCTAAAAATACAACTTACCCATCCTGTGGTATTGTGTTATTAGCAACAAGAAATAGACTAATATAAAAGTATTTCTCAGTAGGCAAGGAAATTTATTTTTATATAGTTTTTTAATTGTGTAAGGGGCTTTTGGGAAAAAAAGACGTGGTATTTGTTGTGACTTTCCTACTGGCCTTACATAGCAGGTACCGGTTATCATTTAGTGATTTTATCAATTGTACCCTTCTAAGAAAGAAATACCAGTTTGTATCTTCTTGCAATGCCTAATCAAACAACTAGTTCAGACTGTCATGGTTGGGAATATTAGGTGATACTCTGACTCCCCTCTACTCTGGAACATATTCTTATAAGATCTCACTTGCATAGTAGGCTCTTTTGTTCATACTGGTAGTTACTGTGCTCCTTAGTCAGCAAGACAGCTACAATGAAGCAGTAAACTACAAAATAACTTGTTCCCTCTACCACATTTTGCAGTGACTGCTCTTACCCAGTTCTTTCAAGTCAGGCAACTTCCTCATACCGGAAAGATTTGGGGTGTTTCCTACTATAGTTAAAAGTAATCCTACTGTTTTATTTTTAGTTTGATTATGTGATTAAAAGCAATATGCAGGGCTAGGGTTGTAGCTCAGTGACAGAGTGCTTGCCTAGCATGTGTGAGGCACTGGGTTTGATCTTTAGCATGGCATAAGAATAAATAAAATAAAGGCATGCTGTCCATACACAACTACCAAGAAATTTTTTAAAGAAGCAATACGCAGGGGCTGGGGTTGTGGCTCAGAGGACGAGCGCTTGCCTAGCATTTGTGAAGCAGTGGGTTCGATCCTCAGAACCACATAAAAATAAAATAAAGGTATTGTGTCCACCTACAACTAAAAAATAAATGTTTTTTTTAAAGCAATATGCGTTTTCTGAAACAAAAGGTCTGTATATTTCTTACAAATATATAATGATTTTTACTATTGTCTTTTTTATTTATTGCCAAGACATATTAAAATATACTTTCGTGTAAGGCATGGTATTGTGTTCCTGTAATCCCAGTTCTCAGAAAGCTGAGTAGGAGAATCACTTGAGCCCAGAAGTTGGAGGCAATCTGGGTAACAAAGCAAGATTGACCTCAACTCAAAAAAAAAAAAAAACTCTTTGCAAGTAAAAAAATAAAATATTGGCTAAAATGTTAATGTAAATGTTTATACTTCACTTTTTCTTTTTTTTTTTTTTTTTTTGGGGATTGTTCCCAGGGTGCTTTACCACTGAGCTACAACTCTAGTTCTTTTTATTTTTTGAGACAGAGTCTTGCTAAGTTGCTGAGGCTGATCTTATACTTGGATCCTCCTCTCAGTCTCCCAAGTTACTGGTATTATAGTGGTTACCACCACCATATCCAGGTAAAATCCTTAAATTTTTGTAGCACTAATCATGTTCATTGGGCAACAAGATAAAACAGAGAACTACTGATCATTTTTTTTTCATAAATGCCAAAACCTCTCCCTAGAAACTTTTCTGTTTTTCTTTTTTTTTTTTTTAGGTTATAAAACTTGGTATCATCTTTGACTTTTTTCCATCAGTTATTCCTTTGTGATATCTATTGATTCAAAATGTTTCCTACAGTTTTCCAGGCTTCCCAGTTTTCAGTGTGTTTTAGTTGATGACCATCCTGGGCCTTGAAACATGCAACCGTTTTTTGTTCTTCCTTTGACAATCTTAAGGTTTTAAATACCACCTCTAAGATGAATACTTCCAGACACCCACAAAATCTTATGCAAAGCAAATGCCATCTACCTCTTTGGTTTTAACCACTCTTCTTCAAACTAACTCAATCTAGCTACATTGGTCTCATTGCTGTCCCTTTAAACAACCCGGTATGGTCCAATCTTGGGGCTTTCTGTATGGGCTGTTCTTCCTTCAAATATCATATAAGCAACTTCCTCACTTCTTACAGGTATTTGCTCTGTCAGTGTGGCCCATTTAATTTTTAAGATTAAACATCATTCCCTTTCAGCAACTTTCCATCATAGTGACTTTCTTTTTTTTTTTTTTAATATTTATTTATTTATTTTCAGTTTTTTAGGTGGACACAATATCTTTATTTTATTTTTATGTGGTGCTGAGGATCGAATCCAGTGCCTCACACATGTCAGGCAAGCACGCTACCACTTGAGCCTCATCCCCAGCCCCCATCATAGTGACTTTCAATTTGTTTCCCAACCAACATCAACATCATCATATAGAAACTTGGAAATGTGAATTCATTAGTCACACCCTCAATTTACTGAGTTGGAAACATCTGGTGTAATTTGTGGTGCCAGTAATTTGTGATTTGATTTTGTTTTGGTTTGTGGTGCTGGGATTGAACTCAGGGCCTCATGCATTCATAATCTGTGTTTTCACAAATCATTCTGCAGTTGGGTAGACATAGTTCAGTGACTGTACCTACGAAGAACAAGGACCTGGGTTCAATCCCCAGGACTACAAATAAATAAATAAATAAACTAAATAATTAATTTGTCTCCATAGAACTCCTTTCACCATTTAACATACTTATTTTATTTCAATTTTATGTGCTGGGGATTGATACCAGGGGCGCTTTACCACTGAGTTACATGCCCAGTCGTTTTTAATTTTGAGACAGAGCCTTGCTGAGTTGCTGAGCCTGGCCTCAATTGTCCATGTCACCTTATCCCCACTCTGCTGCAATACAGCCCCAAGAAGGTTCACTAGCAGGCACCAATTTTTTTTTCTTTTTTCTTTTGGTACCAGGGATTGAACTCAGGGGCACACAATGACCGAGCCACATCCCCATCACTATTTTGTATTTTATGTAGAGACAGGGTCTCACTGAATTGATTAGCACTTTGCCATTGCTGAGGCTGGCTTTGAACTCAATCCTCCTGCCTCAGCCTCTGGAGCTGCTGGGATTACAGGTGTGTGCCACTGAGTCTGGCTTAGGCACCCAATTTTTAAGAAAAATTAAACCTCAGAATATTTTATCAACCTTTTAAATTCATTCACCATGAATTTGGGCATATTCAATTTTAGAGATTTAATTCCTCATTAAACATTAAAATCTTGATTTGGAGAATAAGAACACTGGTTCTGAACTTAATGAAAGTTTACTTCACTTTCCTGAAAGATTATGAAACTTTATTTCACTTAAATTTTTTTATAATAAAAAATATTAAAAAATTCTGTTATTCAAAAATGGTTTTATTCTAAAAAGATATTAAAAACCATTTCTGGATCCTTTTTACTTTTTTTTTAAACAAAAAAATTTCAGCACACTCAAAAGACATTAATACAATGAACCTTCATATATTCAGATTCCAATATGTAATCTAATTATCAAGATTACTATACACCTGTTTTTAAATCATTTTTTTGTTATTTGTACTTTCATTTTCCCCCCACCATGAACATATTACAATAGAAAAAAAATATATTTGTAATGATTCAAAACATATGGATTTCCTTTCTCTAAAAAAAAAAAAAAAAAAGCATATTTCTAATGGTTACAGCCAGCTATACATAAACAGCCAACATTGATGATCAAGAGGAAAATCTGTAATTTGGAAATATACTAGAGAGATCTGAATAAGAATATAATTTACTTCATTTCCAATACTTTTCTTTAATGTCTTCCTAATGATATTTTTAAATCTATCTTGCCCATTCTTCTTGTAGTTTACAAACTGGTAGCATAGAAGTTCCACAAGTACCTCAAAAATTAAACCTAGCCCAAGGAGGTGGTGGCACACCTGTAATTCCATCAACTTCAGAGGATTCAAGGAAGGAGGATTTCAAGTTCCAGGCCAGCTTGGGCAATGAGACACTATCCCAAAATTTTAAAAGTAGCTCAGTAGTAAAGCAGCTTGCCTAGCATATGTAAAGCCCTGGGTTCAATCTTCAGTACCATGAGGGAGGGGGCATAATTTATTATTTTCACTTGCTTATCTCTTCTCTTTTATTCCCTTTCCTGGTTAATAGCATAACCATCCAGCTTCTCAAGCTAAAAACCAAGGCATAATTTTCTTTTTTTTTTTCCAGAAAAATTTAACAGTTTTATTTATAATTGTTATAAAGTTGAACTGCTGAAACCTATTCACTGAAACTTTTTGATTTGCATTAATGCTTTATATCCCAGCATTTATATTAAAAATTGCCACACAAATGAAAATGGAAAAACGGCCAATACCTGATTTCTGTCTCCTATTTTTCCACTAGCAATCATATACTTAGGTACCTTTTGACCCCTGGGGAAAAAAAAAATCTAACGTTCAGAACTATCAATAACAGGAAGCACCAAGGCATAATTTTCAATTCCCACTCCCATACTTAACCAAGGTCTACAGATTCTACCTCCTGTCTTGAAACCTCTCCTCTCTCACTCCTGTCTTAATTCAGATCTTCTTCACCTCCTGCAATCATAGATTTTCACACCACAAATATTTTCCTTCTCTGGCCCAAACACCAGATTATCTTCCTAAAAGGTAAATGGACAACATATTCCCTATTAGTAGCTTAATATTTCCTATTCAAAAATCCTCCAGTGAGATCACACAGTGCTCTAAATTAAGTTCTCAATTCCTCTCACTTGCCACCCATTCAATCTAGCCATGCCTAGAATGGTTTTCCTACTCCACTTCTTTATCAACAGCATTGAACAAAGGGTTGCTGGGCTAGGGGTGTAGCTTGGTCATAGAGCTCTTGTCTACATGGATGAGGCCCTGAGGTTCCAGCCTCAGCACCACAAAAAAGTAGTAAGGGCTACTAACTTGAAGTTAGAGTATCTCATTCCTAAAATCCGTTACAACTTCGTGTTTCTACCTAATTGCCATCCAATGCTTAATTAATTATTCGTTAAAATCCCTATTCCTCAAGGACTGTGAGGCAGAGGTGTTTATTTTCTTTATCTAGCACAGTGTCTGGCCCACAAAGCCAGACATTAAATGTTTTCCGAAATTATCAATGAGCAAATGAGAACTCCTCCACAAGGACTGGGGCATTGTTTCATTCACTATTACAAATCCCAGGCCCTAAAACCAACTCCGAAATAATGGGGACAAAATAAATATTTTCTGAATTAAATTGTTTTCTAATTATCGGTCATATCTGAAAACTTTGCTTTGAATTCAAACCTCATCAGCCTTCTGTCCTCAAGCTGTTTGGAGTGGTTAGGGATGGGGAAAGAAGATTCTCAACTTGTGGTCAGGGCTGTTCAGAGGATCGCTCAGAAATGCTGGAAACGACAGCAAAATTAAGCAGGATGCCAAAATCAGTTCTACGGTTAACATTCCTGTTAATCCTAATAGGAACAACACTGAAAGAAAATGTGTGGCCCACACGTAGTACAGACACACACAAAAATCAAATAGAAGATACAAAAGAGAAAGGGAGAAACCATCAAGTATCAAAGCAGACAGTCTACAGGTTGTAGGGTTTGGGACATGTGGAGGTGGGGACTAGTTTTGTCTATACCTCGGGAAGCGTGGGGTGATGGTGGGCCAGGGTTTAAAGGAAAGCACTCATGGGAAACAAGAGATGTCACTACAAAGGATCTCAAGGGCGTGTGGCAGCACTTACCACCTCGCCCTGCTCCGCGGATTTGTACACTCCTGACACCATCTCGTTATGCAGAAGCAAAAACAATGCCTCGTCCGCCATTTCCTGCTTATTCTTCCAAGCTCCGGGTTTCTGCTCCGGTTTGGGCCGGTCCCAGGGTTTCAAGCTTGCACTTGAACAACTTGATCTGCGCCGCGCTCCGTCAGGCTCGGTCCCCAGTTGCTAGGAGACCGAAGAGTGCGCCGGTTTCCCAAAGGTAGGTACTGGTGAAAGCCGGATACCTGGGAGAGCGCACCCCGCAGGGCCAAGCCCTAGGGTCTAGCGAGAAAGCCGGACCGTACGGCAAGCCAAACCAAAACCGCAGAGACCCGATCCCGCCCCAGGACGAGGGGCAAAGAACCCACTTCCGGTCCCCTCTACCCCGGCATTTCGTCGACTCTATGGTCGCGGAGTTCCTTTGCCAGGCCCCGGGTGAATCTCCAGCACCCTAAGTGAAAGAAGGTTCCTCCCCCTTGACAAGGCGGTGTTGGACCGGTAAGAGTGGAGGGTAAAAGAAGGTTTAAGGAGCTCCTTAAATCCCCAGTACCGCGAAAAGGAAAAAGGGAGCTCTGGTTGCCATCTCCGTAGTAATTTGCATAAAATGCAATTTGACAAGAATGTTTTATTGACTTCATCAACTATTCCATTTCCTGCCACATGTTCTCTAATATGAAAGGTTATAAAGAGTGAATAAATCATCAATTTTCAGTCTGCAAATTTTAGATATATTGAGAAGTTAGACCAATCCATATTGGAATAAGTCCAGGAATGCAAGATTTAAAGCCATTTTGGCTAACCGAAAGTTTACTGGTTGTGTGGTGCAAAGGAAGGGGAGGGACAAGAGGCGGTGAAGGTATAACCAAAAGACAAAAGATTCTTGAACAAGAAAATATAAACTAATCAGAGGATTGAGTAAATGAGATAGTGCTAAAGAATTTGGAAAAGTTGTCCCTGAGATGGAACTTCTAAGCATCTAAGTCAGATTGAGACTTAACTCCACACAGAGGCAAATACACATGCTACATATTACTTTTATTTATTCACTTTTGTAGTGCTGGGGATTGAGCCCAGGGCCTTACACATATAGGCAAGTGATCTACCACTGAGCTACAACCTCAGCCCCCAAATTACATTTTAAATTTGGCAAACTCTGGCTTAAACATATTGCTTAGCCTGTGATTAGTTCTTTGCTTTCTAATCATAAAGTGGATTTTTCTTTCAAGCATATTCACTGCTTCTCCCAAATTTACATAATTTTTTTTTCAAATTGTTATCAATAACCTCCCACCTCCAGACTCTTTTCATAGGAATTTAAGATGATGTTCCTTAATTATGTTTTTTACATGTCTCTTCTGATATTTTAATCAGTTTATTTCACTCATCACATAAATCAAGCATAAAATTTCCTCCTAAGCTTTTTTTTCACACCTAAGCTTTTGAGAACAGTAGTGTAATTTTGAAGTCTATTTTGCCACCATTATCTCAATGTTTTCAGCATTAAAATTTTCCATATGTGTGAAATCAGATAATTCTTTATGTTCAGATAATTCTCACCACCATCAAGGAACTAAGCCCACCACAGAGGTCAAAAAATAAACAGTTAACCAATTTATTAAGGCTGATTTCCACACAACAATAACATGAGATTTTCATAATGTTTTGAAGAAGCCAGTGGTACATACCTGTAATCCCAGTGATTTGGGAGGCTGAGACAGGAGGATCCCAAGTTCAAGACCAGCCTGAGCAACACAGTGAGGGCTTAAGAAATTTAGCAAGACCCTATCTCAAAATAGAAATTAAAAGCGCAGGGGACGGCCTGGAGTTACACTCAGCGGTAGAGTGCTTGCCTCCCACGTGTGTGGGGCCCTGGGTTCCATCTTCAGCACCATAAACAAACAAAAATATTGTGCCCATCTACAACTTAAAAAAAAAAAAAAAAAAAAAGTGCAGGGGATGTAACTCAGTGGTAAAGCAACCTGGGTTTAATTCCCAGTACCAAAAGAAAAAAAAAAATCTATTGGAGAACAAAGGAATTTAATATGTACTGAGGACCTACTAAATGATGAACACAGCATTGTACTGATCGTCTCTATAAAACAGACTGTTAAATCGCCCAGGATCCTAAAAATAGATCGTGTGGAAGCAGGAATATGAACCCCAAGTTTTTGGTTAAGTCTACAAGCATTTGCCTATGGGGAAAAAAAAAATAGGAACTATTACTACACTCTCAACCCTTGGGTACTGCCTGAGGTTGTAAACCGTATTGTAATAATGACATGGCCATACTCACAATTCAATTAAGTAATTGCCATCATACCCCTAAACCAGATCCAGCTCTACTTTTTTCTGTAACCTTTCTTGCTAACATGTCATGTAATTTATGTTTATTATCTGACTCCACACTTTTCCTCCCCACAGAGCTACTTCAGATTTTTCTTTTTGAGGTGCTGGGGATGGAACGTGTTCTACCACTCAGCTACACCTCAGCCCCGGGAAGTATTTTCTCAGCAACAATTTGTACATATATTTCTGGAGCAAAACCAGTTCCCACGTTGGCAGAACCAGAAGCTGGAGGACAGTTACTTCACAAATAGGGCTGCTCCCCCAGATCATGTATTAAACCAACAAGCTCAAGGTCAGGTGAAACGGCCTGACTCTCGCTTTTTCCCTTTAGTAGAGCCTTGCAAAGGTTTTAATCAGACTGTGATTCTCGACTGGCATAACCCCCAATCTCAAATTCCCAATTAATAATAACAAGCTTTGTATCCAAGGTTTTAATTTGTGAGGAAGAAGGTACGTAAATCCTTTCACAGAGCGTCCACAACAAAACTAGCCTATACTAATTGTTAGCTATCACAACTAATGATTTCCTATTCCTTCTGTGCTTCGCCCACTTTAATCAAGGGAAGCGTGCGCACAACTCCTCTCGGGGCATGCGCATCAACATAATGGCCGCGCCCTTTCGTAATTAAATCATTGAGGTGAGGCAAAATAGACTAGCTTCTGCCCAGCTCAGTATAATTTTGTGGTTAAAACAATTTAAGGCACGTGACAACACAAGCTAAAAGTGATAGAAAGCTCCGCGCCCTCCTTGCCAGAACTGCGGCACCGCTAACTCACGTCCCGGAAAAATCAGGGCCTCTCAAGCCCGCCCCAGCTCTGCGCTAGAAGCCGAGCCAAGCCACCCGCAGCTAACAGGGGAAGGAGCAGACCGCCTTGCCGACTTTTCATTGGCCCAGGGTCACAAAGGCTGGAAGCTTCTCCCCCTTCCGGTTTCTGAGTGGTTGAGGCTAAAAAACAACGCCTATTATCATTGGCCGAACCCAGCTGTCAGTCGTTTCGCGTCTCGCGGCGCGGCACGGCTCGGTGCGGCCTATAGAGCAGCGTCGAAGCCTACTGCAGGGAGAAGATGGCGGTCGCAGTGAGAACTTTGCAGGAACAGCTAGAAAAGGCCAAAGAGAGCCTAAAGAATGTGGATGAGAATATTCGCAAGCTCACCGGGAGAGATCCGAATGACGTGAGGTAAGGGCCGAACGGGAGCTGCGAGCTCGAAGAGGCATCTCAAGTCTAGGTGAATTGGGGACGGGGAGGTCGGCCCTCTCTGAGAGGGCTGGAACATCCAGGCCTGTTCCCCGTGCGGCGGTAGAACCCCGTCCTCGGCGGGGTGGGGAACCTCCTGGCTCCCACTGTAGGGCGCTGGGCTTAGGTACTTGCGGAAGGAGAGGGAGGCCTGGTAGCGCTAGGATGGCCTCCCGACCTGTGAGGAGGCCCGGACTGCCGATTCCCGCCCTCGGCGCTGCAGGCCCGGAACTACAGCACAAAGCCCATTCGCGCTGCGGCGGCCACTCGGCCCGGCCTGGCCCGGAGACCCACCTGGGCCACACTCGGCTACCTCGCACACAGGCTGTGGACTAGGTGCCACTTTCTTGGGGATGGCGGGCTAGGGCCCGACTCAGGTTTGTTAATGTGTGGTGGCATCGAGTCAGTGTAAATTCTGAGATAGCGGTCTTGGAAAAAGAAGGAAATTTAATGAAATTATATTTCCCGATCTGCTTTAAAATACATGGATATTAAACCCTCATTTTAGAACGATTGTTATTTTTTTTCCCTGTGATGTACCACATCTGTGAAAGTGCCCTAGATGTGTCTACATATGATTTTTTTAATTGATTGTAAATATTTTGTAGGCCCATCCAAGCCAGATTGCTGGCCCTTTCTGGTCCTGGTGGAGGTAGAGGACGTGGTAGTTTATTGCTGAGGTAAGATTTCCTTAAGACTTAAACTCGTACTGTAACTGTTGGTACTTACTATGTTAATGTATTTGAACCAAATTCATGCAAATATTAGAATAACAGTGTTTGTGTTATCTTTATTTTGTTTAATGCTGTAATATGCTAGTTTTCTGTGTAGTTATCCTACATCTTCATTTGTGTGTGCAGCTAGGGATTAAAGAATATATTTACTGTTCTATATAAACTTAATTGTACTTTTTAAAGTAATATAAAACTCTTTTGGAGGGGTGGATGTTGCTTACTGCGTGCACTAAGCCCAGGGTGCAAACCCAGTACTAAAAAGAAACCCGGGGGGCGGGGGAGCTTTTTGGAGTGAATGCATATTTAAGGCTACTTCAGTGGGAAGACTTTGTTTTTTCTTTAATTCAACCAGATTTTCTTGCAAGTGGAAATACCAGTTCTGTCTTTGTATTTCAAGTGCTTTTATATTGGACATTTTTAATTGCAGGCGTGGATTCTCAGATAGTGGAGGAGGACCCCCAGCCAAACAGAGAGACCTTGAAGGGGCAGTCAGTAGGTATGTTTAAAAAAAATAAAAAGGTTACTCTGTGGGGAGGGAACATGCCTGTAATCTCAGAAGCTAGGGAGCTAACACAGAAGGATGGAAAGTTCAAGGCCAGTCTGGGCAATTTAGTGAGACCATGTATCGAAATGAAAAGGGCTGGTGATGTTAATTCAGTGATATAGTATCCCTAGTTTCAGTCCCCAGTACTGAGAAAAATACATAAAAATTGAACGAATGTAGCTCAGTGGTAGAGCACCCCAGGTTTAAGCCTTAGTACCACCTTTTAAGAAATTCTTGAAAACATTCTAGTATGCTCTCCTTTCTGAAGTGGTACACAAATATAAACATTTAATAGACATTATTGAATTGAATTGTATTAGGATTAGTAGTATATAACTTCCAACTGAGGATCTTTAGTATTTGTTCAAATCAAGACAGCCAACAATCTTCAAAATTCAGATATTCAGGGCTGGGGATATAGCTCAGTTGATAAGAGTGCTTACCTCAAATGTAAAAGTGCTGGGTTTGATCCCCAGCACTACAAAAGAAAGAAACAAACAGTTATTCAGGAAGCGTTGGCACATGCCTATAATCCTAGCATTTTTTGAGGCTAAGGCAGTAGGATCATGAGTTCAGGGCCAGCCTCAGCAACTTGGCCAGGCCCTGGTCAACTCAGTGGACCATGTCTCTAAATAGAATATAAGGGCTGGGGATGTGGCTCAGAGGTAAAGCAACCCTGGGTTCAGTACCTGATACCAATAAATTAATAAATATCCACTCAATGATAACTCAAGTTTTATTCAAAAAAAAAAGATGATGTTCCAGAATATCCAAGATTGGTTGGAACATTAGTTGCTGTACTTTATTTTTCACTGCTAGAGGAAAGAGTAAAATGGGATAGAGACTGGTAGAATGAGGCTTCTGGAGATGCGTCCTAGAAAAAGTAGGCATTTACCATTAGTATGCACTTATCTCAAATTCTACAGTGGTCATTTAAATGATTTTTTTTTTTTCTTTTTTTGTGCAGGCTGGGCGGGGAGCGACGGACAAGAAGAGAATCACGCCAAGAAAGTGACCCAGAGGATGATGATGTTAAAAAGGTACTGAGATTAAAAGAACATATTAGAGAATTAATATAGTACTTTCACTTTACTGCTATCCCTATGCTAGTTAAATTTCTGAGATTTTGTTTTTTTTTCTTTTTGCAGCCAGCGCTGCAGTCTTCAGTTGTAGCTACCTCCAAAGAACGCACACGTCGAGACCTTATCCAGGATCAAAATATGGATGAAAAGGGAAAGCAAAGGTATCTGTAGAATGCTTCTAGTGGGAAAATCTGTCACATAAATTGTTGGATTTATCAAATGCCCATAGTTTCTCTTGGAAAATGGCAAGTTTAATGAAATGAATCCTATTGAATTTTTTTTTTTCTGCTTTTTAGGAACCGACGAATATTTGGCTTGTTGATGGGCACCCTTCAGAAATTTAAACAAGAGTCTACTGTTGCTACTGAAAGGGTATTTATGCAATATTTTGTTTGCTTTGTTTATTTCAGTTACCAGAGTATTCATGTTTAAAAAAGAAAAAAAAACTTAAAAGTTCTTTAGACTTAATTTCAAGCCTAAAATAAAGTAAGAATTCATTAAACTTTCTAAGATTGTTGTATTTTCAGCTGGTGACAGGGGTGGGAGTTGCTGTATATTGAATGAACTTCTATTTGTGGTACAAAGACCATGACCTGTAAATCTTGAGAACTGGATTCTAATCTAAGCTCTTTAACAATCTCATTGTGTAGTTAGACAAATCACTTCATTTCTCTAGGTCTCAGTACTTTCTTTGAAACAAAAGTAGTTGATTTTGCAACTAGTCCAGTGATCATAATTTTTAAGACGTGCACACACACATCTACCCTTCACAGTTTATTTAACTGTCACCTTTCTAGAATTTTTCTTTTGTTAAAACTACAAAATTGTGTCTGGAGTTTATTCTCAGGTTATTGCTTCTAAAAGAGAACTACTACAGTTGAAAGGGAGTTAGCAATTCAATTATGGGTGATTCATAAATTATTTTAGTTTTTACATGTTAATTTTGAGACTGTAAAAAGCTTAAAAGCATGTTAATGTTTGAAGAATAAGTTGATAGGTTTTTGAAGCAGGCAGAGAGGAAAACACTACTTTGTTGGTTAGGACTCCTGTCACATTGTTTGATTTGGAGAAAAGAACAAATGAAGATAACTTGGAAGGGTAGCACCAATTTTTTTTTTAGGTTAACTTATTTATTTAGTTAGTTAGTTGTAGATGGACACAATATCTTTATTTCTATGTGGTGATGTGGTGCTAAGGATCAAACCCAGTGCCTCACAAATATGAGGCAAGTACTCTACCACTGAGCTACAGCCCCAGCCCTGTAGGTTAACTTTTAAGAAAGAACCTTACTTAAACTTTATGATGGAATGGAACATTGGTCATTTTATGGCTAATGGCTTCTAAATGCTCAGTTCTGGTATCCTAAGTTGAAAATACGAAACATGCAGAAAAGTTTCTGTAGTAAAATTGTAATGTTTCATGTAATCCGCATGTATATTTTTTCTGTAATTAAACTAAAGTCAAGTACTTCTTGATTTGATTTTATCTGGACATAAATATTAAAGCAATTTACTTATTTTTAGCAAAAGAGACGCCAGGAAATTGAACAAAAACTTGAAGTTCAGGCAGAAGAAGAGAGAAAGCAAGTTGAAAACGAGAGGAGAGAACTATTTGAAGAGAGACGTGCTAAACAGACAGAATTGCGGCTTTTGGAACAGAAGGTTGAGCTTGCGCAGCTGGTGAGTAATGTTTCAGAATCCTAGGATTGGTAATCCTTTCTGTTTACGAAGGCACTGACCTTTTACCTCTTCTTTAGCAAGAAGAGTGGAATGAACATAATGCCAAGATAATTAAATACATAAGAACTAAGACAAAGCCCCATTTATTCTATATTCCTGGAAGAATGTGTCCAGCTACCCAAAAACTAATAGAAGAATCACAGAGAAAAATGAATGGTAAGTACATGAAAAAGCCTGTTTTGAAATTTTCTTAATGAATAAGATAATACGTTCACACAGAAATATTTGTTTCCTAAAATAATCGTGATTGAATAGTCTAGTTTTGGGGGCAGTTTTGTTTTTTAAGATTTTCTGAGATGCCAGTGAAGTTGGACTGAAGGAGTGTTTCGTGATGGATTTCACCTGAGACTCATTTTGTAGGCAGTGATTATGCATGTGTATTTCTGAAATTATTTGTGTAAGATAACTTTTTGCTTGATAGTCTTGGTAGCCATATAAAAATGCTAATGAGACAAAGTTCATAGAAGGATGTACATATGGAGGTATAAACATGATTTATTTTTCCTTGGGATCAGAAAAATTAATGCATGATTATACTAACTATAAAACTGGTTGTGCTTTAAGGAAGTTTTGTCTAGCATAAAGTTAAGTAGCAAGAGTGACCTTTCTCATCAGGTGTGGTCCAGTTTTGCCTACTACAGTTTTTTAGTGTATAAGTTTCTAGTAGGTCTTTGCTTGAGTTATGTCAGTTTGTAATTATTTATTTGCCATAATCAATATTTTGTCATTATCTCTTTACAAAAAGACATTTAGAAGAAGCTGACAGTTTGTGACCAGGTATAAAGTTGTGACTGAATTTTCTCGATTATAGTAAATTTTACACGTGTAAATTTGTATTTTTAGCTTTATTTGAAGGTAGACGCATCGAATTTGCAGAACAAATAAATAAAATGGAGGCTAGGCCTAGAAGACAATCAATGAAGGAAAAAGAGCATCAGGTGGTGCGTAATGAAGAACAGAAGGCGGAACAAGAAGAGGGTAAGGTGGCTCAGCGAGAGGAAGAGTTGGAGGAGACAGGTAATCAGCACAATGATGTAGAAATAGAGGAAGCAGGAGAGGAAGAGGAAAAGGAAGTAGGTATAGTTCATAGCGATGCAGAAAAAGAACAGGAGGAAGAGGAACAAAAACAGGAAATGGAGGTTAAGATGGAGGAGGAAACTGAGGTAAGGGAAAGTGAGAAGCAGCAAGATAGTCAGCCTGAAGAAGTTATGGATGTGCTAGAGATGGTTGAAAATGTCAAAAATGTAATTGCTGAGCAGGAAGTAATGGAAACTAATCAAGTTGAAAGTATAGAGCCTTCAGAAAATGAAACTAGCAAAGAATTGGAGCCAGAGATGGAATTTGACGTTGAGCCAGATAAAGAATGTAAATCTCTCTCTCCTGGAAAAGAGAATGTTAGTGCTCTAGAAATGGAAAAGGAATCTGAGGAAAAAGAAGAAAAAGATTCTGAGCCCCAGTCTGAGCCTATGGCTCAACTTCAAACCCAGCCCCAACCCCAATCCCAACCTCAATCCCAACCCCAGCCCCAGCCCCCACCCCCACCCCCACCCCAACCTCAGTCCCAGCCAGTACTTCAACCCCAGCCTCTCTCTCAGCCTGAGACTTTGCCATTAGCTGTTTTACAGCCACCACCTCAGGTTATTCAGGAGCAAGGGAATTTACTACCTGAGCGGAAGGAGTTTCCTTTAGAGACTGTCAAACTTCCTGAGGTGCCAGTAGAGCCAATCTTGACAGCACATTCAGAAAGCAAAACCAAAACCAAAACTAGAAGCAGAAGTAGAGGTCGAGCTAGAAATAAAACAAGCAAGAGCAGAAGTCGAAGCAGCAGCAGTAGTAGTACTAGTAGCAGTTCAACCAGTAGCAGCAGTGGAAGCAGTTCCAGCAGTGGCAGTAGTAGTAGTCGAAGCAGTTCCAGTAGTAGCTCCAGTACAAGTGGTAGCAGCAGCAGAGATAGTAGCAGCAGCACTACTAGTAGTAGTGAGAGTAGAAGTCGGAGTAGGGGCCGAGGGCATAATAGAGATAGAAAGCACAGAAGGAGCGTGGATCGGAAGCGAAGGGATACTTCAGGGCTAGAGAGAAGTCACAAATCTTCAAAAGGTGGTAGTAGTAGAGATACAAAAGGATCAAAGGATAAGAATTCCCGGTCCGACAGAAAGAGGTCTATATCAGAGAGTAGTCGATCAGGCAAAAGATCTTCAAGAAGTGAAAGAGACCGAAAATCAGACAGGAAAGACAAAAGGCGTTAATGGAAGAAGCCAGGCTTTCTTAGCCTATTCTTTGCAGCAGAAGATTTCTTGATGAGTAAAAGGATTACCTTTCCTTGTAAGGAGGATGCTGCCTTAAACATTGCATGTTGTAAAAAATCTTTTTGGAAAATACAGACTGTTTGTTTACCAGACATTCTTGTACTTTTTGCATAATTTTGTAAGAGTTATTTATCAAAATTATGTGAGGTTCCAAAATATGTAAAATAATAATAATAAAAAAAGATTAACATCCCTTGTCATCTTTTTTAAATATCCTATACTCTTCAGTAAGAATCTGTATATTTTAATAGGTAAATCTTTAAGTCTGTTCCCTTCTAATTCTGTATCATACATTGCTTTTGTAGAAATAAATGTGCATTTCTTTCATTATTTTTGGGATGTTCTTGTTGACACTTGTATAATAAATATCCTCTTGGTGTCATTTTCAGCTTTTATAACTAGATATTGAACATAATTAGAATGTTTTTGAAGGTTTCATCACTTTTATTTACCTTAGACAATTGTTTTGAGTTCTCAGAGTCAGATCTTTGCAACTTTGAGGGGGAATAGTTTTCTCTAAAATCATTTACTGTTTTCTAATCTCCCTTGTTTTAATCTAAGCATTGTCCTGTTTCTCATTTTTAAACCATATAGTTGGTAGATAACTTAAAAACAGTATGATTTGGTTGTCATTTTCCTGATTATGGGAGCATCATTCTTTTGTCTTCATGGTTACTTGTGTGATAACAACATATACAATCTGTTAAAAATAATGACTTCTTTCTAGGGGAGGGAGGTAGAAGTATCTTCTAAACTTGGATTTTGAGTTTGTGGTCTTGTCTTAACTTTTGTGTTGGCGCTAACTGAAACATGCCGATATGTGTTTTCAAGAATTTTTGTGTAAGGGTGTTATATGAAAGTTTACAAAATGAAGGAAGTTCATCTAGAGTTGAATATGTAAGCAAGTTAGCACACAAGTGTACCGAGTGATTATTAACTTTGTTGTTTTATAAATTTGTATGAACTTGAGTATCTGTTGCCCATTACTATACATGTGCAAATAAATGTGGCTTAGACTTGTGTGACTGCTTAAGACTAGTACTTGTATTAACTTCTTGATGCTTTATAAGAGAGTAAATTGCAAATGACCTTTTTTTTTGAGTTAATGTAAGTTTTAGGCTTGACTTTGAATATTAAATATGCCTTCTCTTGACAAGTAAAATGGTTATAGTGAAAATGTGAACAAGCATTTCCAGTTAGCTTTTGTGTCAGTACAGCTCACTTATGTAAGTGTAAGCAAACATGTTAAAAAGAACTCTTAAGATGCTCTTTTCTTGGAATGATTATTAAAAACAGTACATGGCCAGAACTCAAATTGCAGAACCATCTACATCCCTGATTCAGTTTTCACCAAGAGTAAGCTTCATGTATAGCTTGTAGTACTCTGTAGCAAATTGTTATTTCCTGTGTGCCACAAGAGGGAACAGGTTGGTGAATGATGAAATGAATGGGATGGCTGTAAATTTAACTTGGTTGAGGGGGGAGAACCTTATTTGACTCTTCCTAGGTGTAAAGATCCTTTGTATAGGATTTCAGGGTATAAAGTCTAGTAGTAGAGGGCTCGCATAGCATGAGGCTTTGGATTCAGTCCTCCATACCACCAAAATAAGTGTGAAGTAAGCATTGTTCACTCAGTCTTTGTGTGTGGTGCTGGGAACCCAGCACCTTGCTCATTCATGCTAAATGTACACACTACTACCATTGAGCTATATACTCTGGGCTTCCTTTTTGTTTGTTTATTAAGCCAGAAGTGCTTAACCACTGAGCCACATCCCTAGCCCTTTATTTTTTTATTTAGAGACACCAAGTTGCTAAGGCTGCCACTTATTCATCTGGAAAATGTGAGCATTTGTACTTTAAGTGAAATTGTTGGGGTTGGTAGTTTAACTATTTTTAACTAACATTTAACTGGTAAGCATTTTTAAATTGCAAGGTTTAATTTTTTAAATTCTAAGATGTTTCCAATTAATGCTTTATCCTTAGCAATTAAGTTTTATGGAACTCACATTCAGAGAACCAGGAATTATTTATTCAGATAAAAGGAATGTAAAAGTAATCACAATTTTCTTGGGGGGTAAACACAAGAGGCGGCCTCCTACTACGTATCACAAGTTAGTGTTTATGGAAAGTTTAGAAGCCAAAAGGGTAGGGCTACTAAGAACTGAAGTAAGTTTGGAGCTCTGTTAATTAGCAAAGACGTCTGAGGGGCTGTTCAGGGAAACATACTTATTCTAATTCCAAGTTTTGGATAACCATTGAAATTCAATGATATATATGTGTGTGTGTGTGTGTATATATATATTCAATGATATATATATATATTCAATGAGCTATATTTCCAATCTAGAGTACTACAATCTGTAGAACTCTGGTAACTATTCAGGTAATTTAGGCTAAGTAAAACCCACTGAAGCAATGTCAAAATAAATTTAGAAGTAGTGACATGGCCCAGTGCTATTAGAACAAAGGACTAAGGTATTTTTTGAAGCTAAAGCACTTAAACGTGAGGGCTTTTTTGTTTTGTTTTAATTTGTGAATTCAGACTGATGAAATCTTTGGCTATTTTTCCTTTTTGAAATGCTACCAAAACAATACAGAAAACATGTTAGCCATCACATGTCAGTGGGAGGGGGCTGGGATTGTGGCTCAATGGTAGAGTGCTTGCCTAGCATGTGTGAGGCACTGGCTTCCATTCTCAGCACCACATATAAAAAAATAAAGATCCATTGACTGTTAGATAAAAATGTCAGAGAGCCTGAAAGTTGGTAAAAATATACCTAAGGTATCTGAGGATTTTTTAAATGCACTTTTAAAAGATAATGCAGAAATGGCTACAACTGCTTCCCCTTGATGACTTCCCTATTAATAATAAATTGTTATTTTCTTATATTTAACACTACTTTGTTCAGTTATACTTTATTGTCTGTAGAATGCAGACTCCATAGTAACAGGGATGCCTGCCACTAGAGCTTTCTTTGAGGTACTTAGAATAGGACTTCCTGTGTAGCAGACATTCAGTGTTATCACGACTTAATTTATGACAGGTCCTTGACATTTTTATTCCAAATTATGGAAACAACATTTTGACTTTTTTTTTTAATGCTATGTAACTAAATGGTGTCAAGAGTGCTGTTTGTTAAATAAGCTCAATGGCATAGCCATGCAGTGTGCCCTGGGTTTGATCCCAGCACCATGCCAGAAAACACACACATACCTAGTAAAATATATCTGTGAAGGAACATGGGTGGATACAGATGAAAATCAGAGGTTCTGTCGAATTACTAGGATAGACCCTATCTCTCTTTAAGAATCCATGTTGTGAGCTGGATGTGGTGGCACATGCAGCCTCAGCAGATTAGTGAGATACTAGGCAACTCGGCAAGACCCTGTCTCTAAATAAAATGAAAAAAGGGCTGGGGATGTTGCTCAGTGGGTTAAATTCCCTGTACCAAAAAAAAAAAAAAAAACCCATGTTGTCTTAGGCACCAGCATATGTATAGCTTTACTGTGCTAGATGGGAAGAAAATCTTAAGTAACCAAGATTGTAAAATGAAAGTTAAAAAAAAAACTTGTGTCTTTTAATTCAAGTTATGTGAACATGATTGCATTTGATACCATCAGAGCCCCCCCTTTCCTTCCTTCCTCCCTCCCTCCCTCCCTCCCTCCCTCCCTCTCTCAGGGTACTCCACCACTGAGCCACATCCCCAATCCGATTTTGTATTTTATTTAGAGACAGAGTCTCACTAAGTTGCTTAGTACTTCACTGTTGCTAAGCCTGGCTTTGAACTCTCATTCCTCCTGTCTCAGCCTCCCAAGCCACTGGGATTATAGGCACGTGCCACTGTACCAGCTCCAAAGGGATTTTTTCTGGGTCTCATTTTATTCCTATTTGAGATGTGATATTTGAGTTATTTGTTATCTCTCTCAGCAAAAACTTATCTTCTGCCTCTAACCTGACAAGAAAAACCTTGGTACCTCATAATTTAAGATGACTTTCTTTTTACATTCTTCCTAGGAATTATGAAAGTTTTTAGTGGAATGATCTAACTTCTACATTATTGGAAATAGAGTTCAGTATATTTCAACAAATATTTAAAAACTTACTGTACTCTGGGCATGGTAGTGTATGCCTGTAATCCCAGTAGTTTGGAAGCCTGAGGGTGGAGGATCTCGAGTTTGAGATCAGCCTCAGCAATTGAGTGAAGACCCTGGGGGTGTGGCTCAGGGGGTAAGTGCCCCTGTATTCAATTCCTGGTAAGAAGAAAAAAAAAAGTTAAATTTCTGCTCTCATGGAGCTTACCATTCCTTTTCTCTTTCTCTTTTTCCTTTCTTTCTTGGTGGTACTAGGGATTGAACCCAGAACCTAAAGCATGCTAGGTTAGTAGGTAAGCACTTCATCACTGAGAGAGATCCTATTTTTTTTCCTTCACTCAGAATCACTAAATTGCCCAAGCTGGCCTGGATTTTGCGAGGCAGTTCTGTTATCCTTCAAGTAACTGGGATCAGAGTTATAGATGCTCACTACCATTCTGGCTCATTCTTAATCATTATTCCTTCAGATATTGCTTCTAATTTTCTTTTTTCTTCTTGGATTCAGTTTAGACACATGTTAAAAGCTGAAAAGCTCAATCTTGCCTCAGTATTTTTTTTTTTCTCTCCCTTTTTTTTTTTTTTTTTGGCAAGGGGAGTCAGGTTACTTGGGGTTGGACCTAGGAGCTCTTTACCTTTTTTTTTTTGGTACCAAGGATTGAACACAGAGGCACTTAACCACTGAACATGTCACATCCCTTTTTATTTTTTTATTTATTTTTCAAATATTTTTTTCGTTGTAGTTGGATACAATACCTTTATTTTACTTATTTTTTATGTGGTGCTGAGGATTGAACCCAGCGTCTTTCACGTGCTAGGCGAGCACTCTATACCTTTTTTATTTTGAGACAGGGTCTTAACTAAGTTGCTTAGGGCCTCACTAAATTGCTAAGACTGGCTTTGAATTTGCGATCCTCCTGCCTCAGCCTCCTGAACTGAGACCCAACCCTTCTTTTTTTTTAAATTTTAGATGGGGTCTGGCTAAGTTGCTGAGGCTGGCCTTAAACTCATGATCCTCCTACCTCAGCCTCCCAAGTCCCTGGGACTACAGGTGTATGCCACCACACCCAACTTCTTCAGTATCTTTGAATTTATCACATCTATTTCTTCATCCTGAATTCTGAGTAATTTCTTTTGATAAATCTCTGGTTTGTTTAATTCATGTCATTCATGTTCCCCAACTTTATATTTTATATTTATACTTAAATATACTATATACCACAACACAATTTTAACAGAAATAGAATTATACTATCTTTGCAGTATTCCCTGTACTAAATAAAATACATCTTTGCATAACAACTATTTCTTGCACTCACTCTTCCTCTCTCTCCTGTTTGCTAATGTTTGAGCTTAAACCCAGGACTTCATACATGGCAGGCAAGTGTTCTACCACTGTGCTCAATCCTCATCCCCATATTCCTACTATTTTTTTTTTTTAATTTTTTAGCTGCAGGTGAACACAATACCTTTATTTTGTTTTTATGTGGTGCTGAGGATCAAACCCAGTGCCTCACACGCACTAGGCAAGCGCTCCACCACTGAGCCACAACTCCAGCTCTGTATCCCTAATATTTTTAAGAGCTACAGCAAGCTGCAGGAGTGCACACACGTTATCCTAATGGCTCAAGAGGCTGAGGCAGGAGGATCACAAGTTCAAAACCAGCCTCAGTAATTTAACAAGACCCTAAGCAACTTAGTGAAATCCTGTCTAACAATATAAAATAAAAAAGGCTGGAGATGTGGCTCAGTGGTAAAGTGCCCCTGAGTTAGATCCCTAGTACCAAAAATAAATAACAATTAGGGATGTGGCTGAGTGGTTGGTTAAGTGTCCCTGGGTTTGATTCTTGGTACCAAAATAAAATTTTTAAAAAAAGGAAACTGCAGAATTTTGTACTGTACGAGTGATAATAGTCTGAAATCTTTTTCCCCCCAATCTTTCAT